CCCATCCCGGCCAAAAGAAGGTTGAGAATACGCCATAACCTAAATAAGTAGAACCTTTTCAGAAACAAAATTCAGAAAATACTTTCGATACGCTAAAGCCTTCCCAACATTTTCTTGTGAATAGTTTAATTATCTGATCTGTTAATTATCTGAGGTATAAAAGTCATGTTGTGAGACTTGTCTTTTAGTCACAATCGCATTTCGGTGTATAGAGCAAGTTTGGACCATGCACACAATCCACAGTCGGTCGCTGGAGGTGGTCACGAGAACATGCAATACGCATCTGGCTGCAAAAATGAGGCGAAATGAACTGCTATGAAAACATTTTTGCAGTGATGAGGAGGCAACAAACGGAAGTGGCGTCAGGACATTGCAAAAAACTCCCAAATCCCAGTACACATGCTAGCTGGGTTATTTGCCCAACGGAATACGCCAATTCATGTGAAGCCGAGTAAACCTACTTGAGAGTTATCTCTGAGAATCCTAAACAAGCCAAGCGGACGGAGATTGCCAGTGCCTGGTCTGCGTTCGAGGTGTTGCTTCAAGTGCCACAACTATCGAGGGGTTGGAGGCAGTGGCAGAAGAGTACCAGAAAAAAGAGAGCCAGAGAGCGAGTGAGCGATAAAGGAGGGCTCCGATACTCCGCCAGGATGCTTTAAGGCAGTGCTCACCACGTGTTGGTTGCGTCGACGAGTAAATATAGTCTCTGCAGGGTACCATGCCTCAAATGTAAACAAATAAGATGGGCATGAAGAAGTAGCCAGGGCGCACTATTTGTTAATATGCACGTTGATAAACAATTCCGAAGTCTGGGCTCTTGCAAACACACGTGAAGACGCCACCTAAACAAGATTCTTCAGCTGAGTTAGAGGCCTGTGCAATTAGGATTCCGACATGTTGAACTATTTTGTAAGTGTGAATGACAAAGGTGTATATACCCACCCCCTCAATGTTTGAGTTTCTGGAGTGAAAATTGCATGTTAGTCAACGGATCAGATATCAGATCAAGATATCTAAACTATTCATGTGTGAAACGGATAGAAATTTTGACTTCACCATTGAACCCTTTTCAATAAAGCCCCACAAGGGGTTTTCTGTCCGGGACGATTCATACTTTCCACCAGGACTCGAGTTTCTGGTTGCTGCACAACTCACACGCCTGAGTTTCCGAGCCCTTTAAGACCATTGTTGAAGTCTGTACCAGGTTGAAATAATGATCTAACCCGGTTACTAAAGCCATTTTTCTAGTTCATTAGATACGGGGCCCGGGTTTGGTAAGATTGCTGTCTTAACATACACCGACGTCAGAAGTTGGACTTTTTAATCATCTTTTTATGCTGCACAACCGCCAGCAAGTGAAATTTCAAATGCATACACCTCACAGATGCATTCCATATTCTTTAAAATGTGGAATTGATGTCATCGAAACTTGAAGCTATTTTGGAAGAGCATGTATCCTTTACAAATCCAATTGTTTCCCACCCATGTCTTAGGCCCTAATTTCAAGATCTTATTGAGGCGTTCGATAATGGACAAGCAAAGCTGGTATGGAAGTCTATGGAAACATAAAAATGGGAGTTTCTTTGAAGCATTTATGTATGAACAAACTTATAGACTCAACACGGAAATTATACAAATAATGAGAGTCAACGTTTGCATATAGAGGACGTATATTGTCGCGGCAACTATGCACCGGGATTAGGTGTAAGCGCTTTCTTAATAGTATGAAGTAGGAGGGGGCAGGCAACTATTTTAGGCAAAACAGGAAAGTATACG